ATCCTGTGCCAGTGAAAAACATCTTTCAAAGGATGTGAAATAGCCATGTGTGATAGATCACTCCTGTAATCCCAGCACTTTGGGAGGCCAAGATGAAAGGACTGGTTGAGCCCAGGAGTTCAAGACCAGCCTGGCAACATAATAAAACCCTGACTCTACATTAAAAAAAAAAAAAAAAGCTGGGTTTGATGGCTCACACCTGTGATCTGAGCTACTCAGGAGGCTGAGATGGAAGGATCACTTGAGCCCAGGAGGCTCAGGCTGCAGTAAGCCATGATCATGTCACTGTACTTCAGCCTGGGGAACAGAATGAGACCCTGTTTCAAAAAACAAAAACAAACAAAAAAACTAAACACAAACAAAAAGCAAAACCAAACACAAAAAAAATGCAAAACCAAAGAAATTTTTTTTTAATCCAAGCTGAAAACTATGACTATGCATTGCCAGCTAACCCATATCCCAGGAAATGTTAAAGTTTTTCAGGCAAAAACAATATCAGATGGGAACTTCAATCTACAAAAGAAATAACAGAATGGTAAATTTGTGGGTAATACATATGCCTTTTATTTTCATAATTCATAATTGAAAATTTCAAGCAGAAGTAATAATGTATTATGCATATAACATATGTAGATGTAAAAAGCATAGTAATAATAATACATAGAACGATGGGGGAAATGGAAAAATACTGTTTTAAGGGTGTCACTTTACTTTTTATTTTTATTTTATTTATTTTGTTTTTAATCTTTTATTGCATTTTAGGTTTTGGGGTACATGTGCAGAACATGCAAGACAGTTGCATAGGTACACACATGGCAGTGTGTTTTGCTTCCTTTCTCCCCTTCACCCACATTTGGCATTTCTCCCCAGGCTATCCCTCCCCAGCTCCCCCTCCCGCTGGCCCTCCCCTTTTCCCCCCAATAGACCCCAGTGTTTAGTACTCCCCTTTCTGTGTCCATGTGTTCTCATTTTTCATCACCCGCCTATGAGTGAGAATATGTGGTGTTTCATTTTCTGTTCTTGTTTCAGTTTGCTGAGAATGATGTTCTTTTATTTTTATTTTTTTGAGATGGAGTCTCACTCTGTCACCCAGGCTAGAGTGCAATGGTGGATCTCAGCTCACTGAAACCTCCACCTCCTGGGTTCAAGCAATTCTTCTGCCTCAGCCCCTGAGTAGCTGGGATTATAGGTACATGCCACCATGCTTGGCTAATTTTTGTATTTTTAGTAGAGATGGGGTTTCACCATGTTTGTCAGGCTGGTTTTGAACTCTTGAGCTCATGAACCACCTGCCTTGGCCTCCCAAAGTGCTAGGATTACAGGCATGAGCCACTGCACTCAACCTGAGTGTCACTTTATTAAATATAATGTTATTTGAAGATGGGCTTTGATAAGTTAAAGGTACGTATTGCAACCTACAGCAAGCACTGAGAAAAATAAGAGGTATAGCTAATATGTCAACAGTAGAATTAAAATAAAACTTTAAAAAAGAAAGAAAACGAGAAAAAACAGAAGATGGAACAAACAGAACAAACAGAAAACAGGAGTACAGTAGACTTAACTAAAGTGATAATTACATTAAAATTCAATGGTCCAAATACTGCAAATAGAAAATGAAGATGATCAGTCTGGATTTTCTTTTTAGAAAAGACCCAACTAAAAGTTATCTGTGGAGATACAAAGATTCAGATGAGTTTAAAAAGTAAAAACATGAAAAATACTGTGATACCAAGTCCACACAAACCTCTTCCAAATACAGAGGAACTTAACTCATTTTACAAGGCCAGTATTATTACCTCAATATCAAAATAAAGCAAAGACATTGCAAAATAAATAAACAAATAAATAAATAAACCGATAATCCTCATAAATGTGTCTAGGAAGGACACAGACACACACACACATATACACACTCCCTAACAAAACTCGAGTAAATCAAACCTGTAATATATAAAAAAGATAATATATCATAACCAAGTAGTGTTTTCCAGGAATGCAAGTCTGGTTTAAAATTCAAAACTAAACCAACAGAATTTACCACACTAACAGACAAAGGAAGAAAAACCATATGAACATTTCAACAGATTCAAAATAGGCATCTGACAAAATTCAATAGTAACTCATACTAAAAACTCCTCATGCAACTAGGAAGAGAAGGACATCTTCTCAGTTTATTGTAGGGTATTCTCAAGAGACTTAATGGTGAAACACTGTAACTTTTCTCCTCAGATTGGAAATATGTCAAGGATGTTTGCTCTTACCATTTTTAATTCAACAATATACTGAGATCATGTCTCATTCAATAAGGCAAGAAAAATAAATGAAAGGCATCCAGATTGAAAAGGAATATGTAAAACTGTGTCCATTTGCAGACATTATGGTGTACGTAGAAAACTCTAAGATATCTACCAAAAAGTTACTAAAACTACTAAGTTAAGCAAAGTTGCAGAATACATGGTCAACATTAAAAAATAATAATTTCATTTCTATATAGTAGTAACACACAGTAGAAGAATGAAATTAAATAAACAGTACCATTTAAAAAAATGCTTAAGATTAAATTTAACAAAATATGTGCAAAACTTAAATAATAACTATAAAATACTGTTAAGAGAAATTAAAGAGGATCTAACTAAGTAAATGGAGAGATATATCAAGTTGCTGCATTAGGAGAGTCCCTATTCTTAAATTATCAATTCTCTACAGAGTCTATGTAATTCCATTCAAAATTCCAGCATTCTTTTTTGGGAGAAAATGATAAGCTGGTTATTATTATGAGGGATAGGGTCTCATTCTCTTGATTAGGCTGGAGTGCAGTGGCATGATCATAGCTCACTGCAGCTTTAATCTCCTGGGCTCAAGTTATCCTCCTGCCTCAGCTTCTCTAGTAGCTGGGACTACAGGTGAACACCACCATGCCCAGCTAATTGTTTTTATTTTTTGTAGAAATGAGATCTCATTATGTTGTCCAGGCTGCTCTTAAACTCCTGGGCTCAAGGGTTGACAAGCAAATTATACAATTTATATAAAAATGTGAAAAATCTTAAATGGTCAAAATAATTTCTGAAAAAGAAGAGTAAAGTTGGAGAATTTATGATCTGATTTCAACATTTACTATAGAATTGTATTTCTATAAAGACAGACTTAGGGATTAAAGAAACAGAATCAAGTTCAGAAATAGAACCACACATATGTGACTAAGTGATTTTCAATGAAATTATCAAGGTATTTCAATAAGGGTAAAGAAACCATTTTCAACAAGTGGTAAAGAAACAATGAAATAACCAATTGGAAAGCCAAAAAAAAAAAAAAAAAGTGGAGCCTAACCTAATTCCATACTCAAAAAAGTAGACTACTGACTTAAAAGTAGAAGTAAAAACTACAAGCCTTTTTCTTTTATGCAAAGATTTCTTAGAAATGACACGAAAATATTAATTATAGTAGCAAAAACTGATAAAGTCCACCAAAATTTAAAACTGCTCTTCAAAAGATACCAATAAGAAGATGAAAAGTCTAGGAGAAAATATGGTCCATTTATCTAACAAAGGACTTACATCTAGAACATGTAAAGAAAACTTACAATTCAACACTTACATTTTAATAGTAAGATAAATTTTTAATGGGTAAATTATCTGAATAAACAACTCAAAATAAAATCTAGAAACGACCAATAAGCACATGAAAAGATGCTCAACATCATGAATCATCAGGAAAATATAAATTAAAATCACAGAGACACCAGTACACACCGACTAAATGGCTAAAATCAAAACCACTGACATTACCAAGTATTGATGATGTACAGCAGAGGTTAGCAAACTATATCCCACAGGGCAACTTCAGTTTGCTGCCACTGCCTGGTTTTGTAAATCAAGTTTTATTAAGAAACAGTCACATTCATTCTTTCAAGTACTGTCTATGGCTACTTTTCTGCTACAATGGCAGAGATGAGTAAGTTTAAGCTTAGCAATAAAACGAATGAACTTCTGATACTTACCACAAGTGGACAAATCTCAAAACGTTTTGCTGTACAAAAGAAGGCCGACACAAAAGATACAGATTCAATTTATATGAAATTCTAGAACAAGCAAATTTAATTTAAAGTGGCAGAAAGCAGATTAGTGGTTGGTTGGAACCCGAGGTGAGGGGTGGGGAAATCTGTGTACAAGGGAACTTTTTGTGGGATGATGAAAACTTCTCTAACTTGATTGTACTGGTGGTTACACTTAGTGTATATTTTTGTAAAAACTCAAACTGTACAATTAAAATGAGTGTATTTTATTGTAACTTTAAAAAAGATAACTCAACGAGTACAAATTTGAAAAAACTTTAGGTTTTGATGGGTTTCAGAATTCAGAATTTTTCAGGTTTTTTAGAAAAGTGACACTGTACATTAACTGTATGTTATATAACATTCCCAACTGGTTTTGCAGCAGCACCTTATATTTAAACATATAAATACATCTTCAGGAAATATGAGTATTCTAACTAAATTAGTTAAGTCTAGAAATCACCAAAGTCTGGTTTTGTGGACAAATGAGTTTTTGAATAAAAATAAAGAAAAAACTTTGAGTGTTCAGAGTTTTTTAAAATTTAGTCTTATAGATAAGGTGTTATGGACCTGTATTTATATTTGTTATATGCTGTCTGCCCCAAGAGCCCTGTGTGCCAGGCACCGTTGTCAGATACCTGCAGGGCATATGAAACAGGTAACTCTGCCCTGGCCCTGTGGAGATCAGATGGGTATGATGCAGCTACCATCAGGGGCTCACAGGGTACAGGGGAGTCTGACATAGACAAGAAACATCATTAAAGGCAGATTCTGTTAATGCGTCAGGAGACACAAGGGGATGGAGAGATTAATTCAGTCTTTCCCTGAGGATATCAGGCTAGAAAGGAAGGCTTGGGTTTCATCATGATAGGTCATATATGCTGGACTGAGCCATTTGCATTTTATCCTGTAAGCAATAGCACTTCAATACTTACGACACTGGACTTACCAGTGATGCTCTCCGAGTCTCTGTGATTGCTATTCATGAGGTTTGCTTCACCTGTTGGTGATATAAAAATTGCATTCTGGGATTGACTCATGCAGGATCCTTTCTTGCTTTGGTTGAGAAGGACAGCTTTGGTATGAATCAGAGTACAGGAAATCCATCAAGCCATTCAATAATGAAATGGATTTGGTCACATGGGTATTTTCTTTTAGACAGATTTTCTCCGATGAGTCAAATGACATCTGTAGCAATGAGCACTCTCATGTGATTATCATACCTTGGACAGTCATGACCTACAACAAAAACACATCAAGTGAATAGAATTCAGCGTGCTCTTTAACAACAAAAATCTAATTAATTAAAATGTCTGTCATCAAAAATATTTTTCTAAGGATACATACATCATGGATAAATCCCATGCTGGAAGAAAGAAGTCAGACAAAAAAAGAGTACACAGTTTATTATTTCATTTATATAAAATTCTAGAAAATGTCAACTTATCTATAGTGACAGAAAGCAGATCAGTGGCTACCTGGGGTTAAGGGATGAATTACTAAGGGGCAGGAGAAAAGTTTTTGGAATGATGAATATATTCATTATTTTGACTGTGGTGATGGTTTTACAAATGTATATCAAAAGTGATTAATTTGTACACTTGAAATGTGTAATTTGATGCATATTAATTATATTTAAATAAAACTTTAATTTTTTAAAAAAAGATATCAAGTAATACACTAATAACATATTGTAGGGTCTATAACATATATAGTAGAATGTTTTGCAGTAGCACGAAGGCCCGGAGGAGGGAAATGGGCACATACTATTGTAAGGCTTTTATATTAAACATGAAAGAGTAACTAACATATGACTTGAAGATATAGACTGTGATAAGTATACTATAAACCTGAAACCAACCAATTAAAAAACTCAACAATTACAGATAATTAACCAATGAAGAAGATGAAATGGAATAGTACAAAACAGGTTTTTTTTTATCCTGCCACAATTACATTTTGGGCCAGGTATTGCTTCATCATATGCATTGTAGGATCTTTTACCCACTAAGTGCCAGCAAAATCCCTTCCTTAGACCCTCTCCAGTTCCATCCAAAATGTCTCCAGATATCGCCAGATGTCCCCTGTGGGGGGGTGGGCAAAATCATCCCCAGTTGAGAACCACTGATACAACAGATGTTCAATTTCACTCATAATTAAAACAAAAATATAAACAAAAAAGTATTCACTTACTAGATTAGCAAACATGAAGTTTTATTATATTCTTTCCTGGAGATGATGTGGAAAAAGGAGCTCTTTTATACCTTGTTGATAAAAGTATAAATTGGGCTTGGCATGGTAGCTTATGCTTGTAATCCCAGGATCTTGGGAGGCTGAGGGCGGCGGATCACTTGAGGTCAAGAGTTCAAGAGCAGCCTGGCCAACATGGTGAAACCCTGTCCCTATTACAAATACAAAAATTAGCTGGGCGTGGTGGCAGGAACCTGTAATTCCAGCTACTTGGGAGGCTGAGGCAAAAGAATCGTTTGAACCTGAGAGGGGAAGGTTGTGGTGAGCTGAGATTGCTCCACTGCACTCCAGCCTGGGTGACAGAGCAAGACTCTGTCTCAAAAAAAAAAAAAAAAGGTGCAAATTGGTACAAGCTTTCAGAAGGCTATTTGGCAATGTCTACCAAACTTTTACATGCATACATGCTGTAATTCAACAGTTCTACCACCAGGAATTTACAGAATGGATATACTCACAAAGTGTGCCAAGATATATAAGGATGCCCATACAGTATTGGTTTGGGGAAAAAAAAAAGCATATACCACACAACTGAACTAAATGTCCACAAATAAATGGTTTATAATAGTGGTACATACAAAGGAATATAATGTACTAAATATATGTGCACACTTAAAAAATTAGGAATTGTCATCAGTAAAACTGTTCAATTCTACTTATTTGATTTATATCAAGACAGTCTCTGCTTGGCAACTTGTGGCTTTTACTTATAGTTAATTCATTCTCATATCTACTCTTTACAGGCACCATAAATATTCAGTAAGAGAGTTACCCTCAAGAAGTAGAAAGGAACAAAGTAAATAAAGGAGACTGAATATGGTTACTGGTGTAGAGGAAGAGAAAAGCATTTTGAGCAAATCCTAGGGAGGAAAGTTTGAGAGACAGAATGTGAACAGAATTAAACATTACATAAAAGTCAAAAGGAAAATTTGGTTTATTAAAAAAGGGGTAAGGGACCAAAAAATCAATGATAACTTTCCAGAAACCAGTTCAGCCAAGAGGTTAGATTCAAAGCCAGGCTGCAAGGTGTTGGTAAGTGAGATGGTAAGAGTGAAGTTTAGTGAGTACAGACTCACTAGGTATTTCCCAATACCTAGACTCTCAGATTTCCACAGATTAGTAATATGTCAAACACTTCCATAGTTATTGTCATGGAATTTCTATTACTTTGTAATAGATAAAATATTTTATTAAAAAAAAAAGAGACACAATAAATAGCAGTCCTTCCCCATAAAGGAGTTTATAATTTTATGTTGGAACAACAACAACAACACCACACACACACACATATATATATATATATATTGTATATATATGTATATGTGACACAGGGTCTTGCTTGTTGCTCTGCCACCTAGGATGGAGTGCAGTGGTGCAAGAACCACAGGAATTCTCCTGCCTCAGCCTCAGCCTCAGCCTCAGCCTCCCAAGTAGCTGGGATTACAGTCATGCACCACCACACCTGGCTAATTTTGTATTTTTAGTAGAGACAGGATTGCACCATGTTGGTCGGGCTAGTCTCAAATTTCTGACCTCAGGTGATTTGCCCTCCTGGGACTCCCAAAGTGCTAGGATTACAGGCATGAGTCACTGCGTCCCACCCTAGAAAGCATTTTTTTTTTTTAAAGTAGTAAATTACATACTTGTGAAGAGAGAAAAGGAAAGGAGAGGAAGATAGTGACGTGGGAAGGATGAAGAGGAACAGGATAAAAGCAAACTATCTCTCATACTGGTCCACATTGATTCTCAGAGCTGTGGTTCTTTCAATCATATTTGAATCAAAGACCACTGTCTAATGATAATTTTGGGAACTTATACCCACCAGTCTGTTACATACTAGCTGGTTTGATTATGCATTTACCTTACCATTTCTGTTTTTCAGTTTCTATTTCTGCATTTATATACATCACACAGGAACACAAAAATTATATCCTTTCACGCATGGACTCTAGATCTTTGTTCTATAGAAGGGGTTCCCAGTCCCCAGGCAATAGACCTGTACCTGCCTGTGGCCTGTCAGGAACCAGGTCACAAAGCAGGAGGTGAGTGAGCGAAGCTTCATCTGTATTTACAGTGGCTCCCCATCACTCGCATTACTGCCTGAGCTCTGCCTCCTGTTAGATCAGCGGTGGCATTAGATTCTCATAGGAGCCCAAACCCTATCATGAACTGTGCACTCCAGGAATCTAGGTTGTGTGCTCCTTTATGAGAATCTAATGCCTGATGATCTGTCACTGTTTTCCATCACCCCCAGATGGGACTGTCTAGTTGCTGGAAAATAAGCTCAGGGCTCCCACTGATTCTACATTATGGTGAGTTGTATAATTATTTCATTATATATTATAATGTAATAATAATAGCGATAAAGTACACAATAAATGTAATACGCTTGAATCATCCCCAAACCACCCTCCCCATCTCCTATGGTCTGCGGAAAAATTGTCTTCCACAAAACCGGTCCCTGGTGCCAAAAAGGTTGGGGAGCTCTGTTCTAGAAAACTGCTTTTTAAATAAGCTATGGAGATTTTGCTAATGATTTAGTCTTAATTCTTGCATACCAAAATAGAGAAAACCAAGCTGAACTAAGAACTAAGTCCATCTTAAGAGTCATACATTTAAAATGCAGAATGTCAGGGCAATTCAGGAACTGGCCCAGCCTGCAGACTGTGCACCAGGTGATCTGGCAATGGTATGCTCTTCCCGGGGACTTTTTAGATCTAAATAAACCCTCTGGACATGCCCTGGTCTAAATCTGAGCTCCTCAGAAAGATCAGTTTGGAGTAGCAGTACTGAACACAGTACCACAGATGCAGCCTGACATTACAGAAGTCTGAATTTTAACCTTATTTACTGCTTTTTTGACATTGGGCGCATTATTTAACATTTCTGAGTCTCATTCCACATTGTCAAAATGGGGATGTTAATAACTACCCTTTATAAGAAGGGTCAGATATGAGTACTAAATAAAAATGACAATTCCTAGTTTGGTACCCAACATACAGTAGACACTCAAATGTGCATTCCTGTCAGCTTTCCCCTATCTCTCAGGGCTGAGAAAAGGATGATGTCTTCTGTCTAATATTTCTTAAATTTCTGGCTCAACAGACAACTCTGTACACAGAATGACTACCATGTTTGAGTATGTAGTAGATGCGGTCTGAAGATTACTGCTGAGTAGTAAGGACATAGAAGGACATAAGGACTTAGAAACTTTGCTCCTGCTAATAAAGTTTCAAGTGCATAAAGCTGGGATTATCAAGAGTGATGATTACTAAAGCTCATTCTTTCATGGGTCTGAGGAAGGTTTGCTAATAACGAAAAGTCTTAACTACACCTAGTATCTTTCTCCATAGCAATGTGGCTATACATTTCCTGTTGCTGCCACAATAAATTACCACAAACTTGGTGGTTTAAAACAACACCAATTTATGATCTTACAGTTCTGAAGGTCAGAAAAATGAAAAGGTTTCAGGACCAAAACCAAGGTGTTAGAAGGGTATGCTCCCTCCCTCTGGAGGCTCCAGGGAAAAATCATTCTCTTGCCTTTTCTAGCTTCTAGAGTTATATTACTTGGCTCAAGGTCTCTTCTACCATTTTCCATGCCAGCAGCATAGCATCTTCAAACCTCTCTGCTTCTACTGTCATACTGTCTTTTCCTGTCAAATCTCCTTTGCCTCACTCCTATAAAGGATACCTGTGATTACATTTAAGGTCAAAGTGCGTAATTCAGCATAATCTTCCATCTCAAGATCCTTAATGTAGTCATGTCTGCAAAGTCCTTTTGGCATGTAAGGTAATTTATTCACAGGATCCAGAAGATCAAGATCTGAGTATCTTTGAAGGTCAGCATTCAGCCTACCGCAGTGGTTAAGAATGTGGATTCTGGAACTAGAGTGCCTAAATTTGAACTCCAGCCCCATCACTTACTGGTTGGGTGATTCTGGACAAATTACTTGACCTCATTTTTTCATCTGTTAAATGGGCCTAATAATAGGATCTACTTTATGGGGATCAAGTGAATTATGAGAGGATAATAGTAGCAGCTACCTCAGAGGGTTATTGGGAAATAACATGAATTAATACATGAAAAGGTCTTAGAATATAGTAAATGCTATGCAAGAATTGGTTATTATTAATATTTCTATCGCCAAAGTACTATTTTATAATATTATTATTATTGTACCTTACACAATGCTAGGCACAATCTAAGGCCTACTCTCAGTTGCGTGATAGCATCTTCTTTCAACCTAAGAAACAATTTACTTCCTGCCTTCTGATGAGTGATATTAGCTTAGTGTCATTAAGCTAACATCTCTCTCTGTCTCTCTGATGCATGAATAAACCAAAAGCTTATATAGAGTCCTAAATGCAATAGAAACTAATCTTTGGCAAACACAAATGACACATTTCCAGTGCCTTTCCTAGTCTGTGCACATGTATTCTTTGCACTTTTTTCAGGGCCATCTACTTTCTTTGTTGAATCTTTATTCACTCTTTTTAGGAACAACTTCACTGCTTTTCTTTATAAAACAACCAATCAGGCATGTATTATTTAACAAGAAGCCAGCCTTTGTAATCCATGCACAGTAAGTAGAAAATAAAGTAAAATAACCAAGTAACTTCTTTTAAGAAGCATGAGACTTCAAAAGAACAACCATAACACATCATTGACATAAATATTGCTGGCAGGACACAACATGGCTAATGACTTAGATAGTTTAGCCCAGCCACGGAACTAATTGGTCAACAGTGAATGCCTAAATATAGGCCCTGTGCCTAAAAAACATCTTGCTACTTCCTTAAAACAGGATACTCTGGCCAAAACAGCCTTATTGAGAAAGCTAAAACAACTCTGGGAAAGTTCACCTCTGCTGGGCATAGAGCCTGGGATTGCAAAAAATGCAATTATTTAGTGAAAGACTTGCACTGGAAATAGAATCAAAATCTTTATTTTATAAGCAATACTTTGGGGATTAATTTAAAACACATGTGGGCCGCTGATCTGCATGCAGGAACAGTGCCAATCACCAATTTAGCAACAGCTCTCTTAGGCAGTGGCAACCTACCCCAGACAAAAGATCAGCTAATTTAAAAAATGATAATTTACCATGTCCCTACATAAAATAATATATTTTTGACAAAGACAGTGACTCACTAATTGTAATGTATCTGGCTACACTATGGATAAAGTTTACAAAAAAAACCACAGTATTTTAAAAACCAGATATTAAACCACATAAAGATGCTATCATGGCTTCAGCACTAAGAGCTGAAAAAAAAAACAAAGTCAGGAGGAATGTCACCAGCAAAACCCAGCGTGGACAGTGAGCGGCAGACCTCAGGAAGGCAGAGGCCACATATCACCACCCAGCTGCACCAATGCCGCGGGAAAGCTACACACTGGCTACATTCAGCACAGCTGTTCTATCAGCAATTATAAAGTTCACCCTGAGGAAATAGGATTTGTGACCAACAAATATTTTGTCCCTCTTTTTAATTGCCATTTGACTTAAAAGATAAGTACGGTGTTCAGAATATGAAATATATGGAGGTCGCTCTACTTACAAACAGGCTGGATTCCAAAAGGCTGCTAAATCCATTAGTTTAAACGTCCAAAACCAAGCATGAGATTTAGGCTTATGGAGTCAGTATTTCCTCCTAGTTGACATATTTTAGGCATTTTAAAAACTGCCCTGTTTGTTTATAATGAATATCTTCTGAGGCAGGCCACCCCTCCCTGACACAATCTTCACCAACAGGAGAAGGGAGGTAACCTCTGGCAGCTAAGGAATCCGTATCAGAGCTTCACCTGCAGATTAGAGAAGGCCTTGAACCCATGGTGCCATCTGTGGTTTTTGACAAGTTTCCACAGCAGCACTTTCATTCACCATGCTTAGTTTTTAAGTTCTTGAATTCTTAACCTTCACCTTTCACTAAACAGGAATTCCACTTCAACACCAATCCTCTGCCAAAACCATTTCAGTCACATTTCTTCACCTCTGGCTGCTGTCAAACTGCATAGGTACATTTTTCAACACAGATGGGACTGCCCTTCATAATCATTCTCATTGTCCAATGACATATATAATCTGTATAAGTTTCTCACTTTCAAATTTTTACACTATTTCTACTTTTGTGCACATTAATAAATCACTAGCATTGCTTTTAGGGACAAAATGGGATTTGTAATGTAGAATACCTGAAAACTATGCACATATAAAACAAACATGCTATAAATAATAATAATGGCCAAGTTAAAAATATTCCTCTGTTGGTGATCGGCACTGCTGAATCCCTTGCTCTGGAGTATACTTTGTCCCTATCCACAAGGTTCATAAGTTACAAGTTTTAAGAAGAAGAGTTTCAAAAAATTTATAAGAAAGTTAATCTATCATAGCAAAGACTTACTGTCCTGTAGATTTATACCCCCAAATCATGACACTCTTAGATTATAGAATAAAAGACTGAAAGGACACCAAACTCAAGAAATTGGATAAACAACTGAATAAGCAATATCAACATGTTTTCAAACTATACTTCTGGACAGGAATTCTATCTTTTGCATGACGTCTCAGAGTGACAGTATCAAAAGAGATAGGAGATACATAAAAATGCTTAATACGAGGTGGGTGGATCATGAGGTCAAGAGTTTATAGACCATCCTGGTCAACATGGTGAAACCCCGTCTCTACTAAAAATACAAAAAAATAGCTGGGCACAGTGGCGCGTGCCTGTAATCCCAGCTACTCGGGAGGCTGAGGCAGGAGAATTGCCTGGACCCAGGAGGCGGAGGCTGCGGTGAGCCGAGATCGAGCCATTGCACTCCAACCTGGGTAACAAGAGCGAAACTCCGTCTCAAAAAAAAAAAAAAATGCTTAATACAGCATTGACTAATATTTATAATTCCTAGTTTTATGCCTTGCTCTCATCATCCATTTTCAAACTCGCTGTTTCTATAAATGGTCATGATTGGCTTAGAAATCTGAATAAGAAAGCAAATTTATTTGGGAGTCAAAAATAATTGAGTGACGGTCATATGCAGTTTAGTCAAAGGAAATAAGATAGCTCAATAATACTAAAAGTAAACCTCAAACAGGCAGACTTCAATCTCACATTCATAAGACAGTCTTGATTTGTTTCTCTTTTTTTAAATTTGAGACAGGGTCTTACTCCGTTACCAAGGTTAGAGTGTAGTGTCGTGATCTCCACTCACTGCAACCTTCACCTCCCTGGCTCAAAAGATCATCCCACCTCAGCATCCCAAGTAGTTGGGACTACAGGCACCTGCCACCAAGCGCAGGTAATTTTTGTATGTTTTTGTAGAGATGGGGTTTTACCATGTTGTTCAGGCTGATCTCGAATTCCTGAACTCAAGTGATTTGCCCGCCTTGGCCTCCCAAAGTGCTGGGATTATAGGCATGAGCCGCTATGCCTGGCCTTAATTTCTTTCTTTAAAAGAAAGAGCGGCTTGACATAAACTCTACCTGAAATTCTGTAGCCTCTTAAGTGAGCAATATGTTCTCTATGCCATTTGACATAAAAGCTACCCAACGCTATATAGTGATATTTAATGAAACAAAAAAGCAAAAGCCATTTCAAGATAGATTTTCTTATAACTTTTCAAGAATGAAGACTGAGTTTAGTAAGCATTATTTAAATATTTGAAAGTTAGATCAATGGAGAAAATAAGTGTTACTAAAAGGATTATTACCAAATCATATTTAATAAAGTATACATTTTATTATCTTAACATTTGACAACAGAGCTTCTCTTAGGAAAGAAATACTTTTTGTTTGGGAAAACACTTGGAAAAGTCTCTTAAGATACAAGGTAAGGTCTCAGCATCAAAAAAAGGCTAAACTACTCTGCATGAGACCAGGGAAATAACTGTGTTTTCTTTCTCCTAAAAGGGAGAGGGCAGCAATAAAAAATGATAAGTTCGTGTCGTTTGTAGGGACATGGATGAATCTGGAGAACATCATTCTCAGCAAACTGACACAAGAATAGAAAATGAAATACCGCATATTCTCACTCATAGGCGGGTGATGAAAATGAGAACACATGGACATAGGGAAAGGAATACTAAACACTGGGGTCTATTGGGGGGAATAGGGGAGGGACAGCAGCGGGGGAAGCTGGGGAGGGATAGCCTGGGGAGAAATGCCAAATGTGGATGAAGGGGAAGAAGGCAGCAAAACACACTGCCATGTGTGTACCTATGCAACTATCTTGCATGGTCTGCACATGTACCCCAAAACCTAAAATGCAATTAAAAAAAAAAGAGAAAGAAAAAAAAAGGGAGAGGGAAAAGAAAGCTACCATGTTACTTGTTTTGACCTCCTAAAAGTAGGAAATGGAACATAGATTAAAAAATTAATCTCTAGTCCGATAAATTAAGTCTACCTCTATCTTAGTATCTTGCAAATGACAGGCATTCAACAAATCTCTGCTTAATGAATGAATCAGGCTATAGTCAAGTTACATCCTTGTAGTCTATAGTAGGGAGGAAAACGAACTACATAAGAACATGAGACTGTTAGAACACATGGAAATGGAAAGCTTTCTTAGCCTAATTTACAAAAATCTACATAGGTCTTTCATGGGTTTCAGTAAGGGTATATGTACATGCAGGGCTATATCATCTAAGCCCATCAGTTACTATGAAGGTGCAAACATTCCCTAGAGATGGGACTGACAACATGGTGGCAAAAATGCCACAAAATCTTTAACACTTTTCTTTTTGTTTTGTTTTCCATAGTTTTCTTATTTTAAAAAATATTGATGGTAAGATGTTTTCCTCCTAGAGTCCATACATGATAACGAGGAAAGTTCAATAAACTGCCATGAGAGGAAAGAAAAAAGTCCTTAGATAGATCAGGCTGAAAATAATTTGATGACTCAGGATCATGACTAAGAATAGCAATTACTGTGTTATAATACAATGACTACAGTGGTATCCTCCAGGATTATAAACTTTTAAAGAGCTTTTTCTGGGTGATGTAGCCAAGATGGCAAAATAGAAAATAACCCGCTCATATCTGGCCCCCAACAAGTCTGCATCCATCCATAGTTAAAGAGCTCTTTCTCCCTGTACTAAATAATCCCATGCTAATTTTTTTGAGATTTTAAGTCAATTTCAAATTTTGTTTCCTCCCTCACCGTGAGGCTATCAACTATTACACGTTACTGTTGCTAGTTTGCCTCTCCCCTTTCTAACCCGCTGTTGGCTGAGAAACTAGATAACCAGGTTATCAGAACACTCATGAGGTGTCTGCTTGACTGAACTCCAGGACCTGTTTTTCTGCCCTTGGCTGGTTTCCCAAGTACCTCTTTCTTTCATCCCTCCAGCACCAGGGATTTAGCTGGCTTTCTCCTCGTCCTTTGGCACTGTTGGCAAGTGCTTTTCTCACCTGGTATTCTTTTACCTAGGCTAGCTATGAACATACTCTGTTCTTTCTTAACTGTCTCCTAAGAAAAGACTGGTCTTCTTCTATTCTTTTGTGAAAATTTTACTGTTAATTGCAAGGAGAAATACAAAGTGGATTATAAATATATTTTAAAAGGTTTAGGAAATCTTAACATTCCTCATTGTGGTTTTTGCTCTTAACCCATTTATGCCTAGTGTTCCATTACTGGAATGCTAAGCTTGTGGGAGTTATTTATATCCTACTGCTCAAGGTCATCACCAAGGTCTGATTTCTCGCACACAAAAATTTGCTATTCAGGAGGCTAAGGCAGAAGAATCACTTGAACCCCAGAGCAGAAGGCTGCAGTGAGCCGAGATCGCATCATTGCACCCTAGCCTGGGCAACAGGAGTGAAACTCTGTCTCAAAAAAAAAAAAAAAAAGTGCAACCACTGGCATAGATGGGTTAATCAGTGTTTACCGACTCCCTTTCTTTGATGATCCCAGAAGATGGCTGCTCACTAGTCATTTCTTCCTCATTATACTGCAAGCTTCTCAAAAGAAGGGATCTTGCCATTTATTTTATGTCCAGAACCTAACAGCAACTGGCACACAGTAGTCTTGCAAAATACAGGCCTACTACCTAGAAGCTTAATCATTAAAAATACCAATACACTGAATTACAGAAGTAATTTAATGAACAAAGTTGATATTAATATATTTTCAATACAACATCAACTAAATGAATTGCCTTGAAAAACACAATTAAGCTAAGATTGAACATTCTAAAGTAAAACACTTATGTGCTTTATGAAAAACTACATAAAAGAGTTTGGTGTTAAAAGGGTGCTTTATCATTTTTATAGCAATGACATGGTACATACTTTTCTGTAATAACTAAAAAGAACTAGTTGTCAGTCTCATAGGAAAGCCAAAGTGAACATTCATGTGGCTCATTGCTTCCTTTTTGGTGACTTGTCAAAAAGCTTTCTCAAAAGAAAGAACTTAAAGTTTGGCAAATGCTGAGAGATAAATATAGATAAGCTCCAAAGACCTCGAGGATCTTCACAAAATGAATTAGTTCCACCACTAAACTACCAGCAGACTTTGTACACTTATTTTCTAGCATGAATAAACCACAATTCAGGGTAGTTACACAGGATATCTCCAAGGTTATGTGAGTCAGTGGTAAAGCTAAGAATAAAGTCAGAACATTACTTATATATGTAAATATTAAGCAGCCAGTTGAAAAAGAATATTTCAATAAGATTACCTCAATTAACAACTGGTCAAACAGCTGTTCATTGAACAGCTTTCAACTAATGCCATTTGAATTAAACC